CAAGCGTGGTAACTACTAATAAAACCCCCCAAGGGGGAGGCTTGTGTTCAGCAGTGGACAATTAAAGCCTGAAATGATGATGAAGGTTAGTAAAGTCTTTTTTTTCTTTACATTTTAAGGATAAAAAAAAAAAATATAATAAATAGTTGATTTATTTGCTTATTTTATTTATCAATTTAGAGAGTTTGACAATTTCCTATTTCGCTCTCTTAGAAATCACAAAATATTAAACAAAATAAAATTAAATCAAAGGGATACTTTCTAAATAATTTATTGTCATTCTGCGAAATTCGAGAAGTTTACAAGTCAAGTTCGGACACTGGTTCATGACACCGTAGAGTCAATGTCAGTGGAAGAGTAGCCTGTTTTGCTAGCTTCATTGACTTATATCTCTCTCTCTCTCTTCGTCCTCTTCATTACTGAAGGTCCTTGAAAGGTGTCCGTTGCCTCTCTTATGATGTTATTCCATTGTGCACGGTCTTGAGCTTCTCGCAGGGCAGCTGCAATTGACAGTCCCATAACGGCGGTTACTTGGTCCGGCCCTCGATTAGGCGATCGTCTTATATATATATATATATATATATATATATATATATATATATATATATATATATATATATATATATATATATATATATATATATATATATATATATATATATATATATATATATATATATATATATAATATAATAATAATATATATATATATATATATATATATAATATATATATATATATATATATATATATATATATATATATATATATATATATATATATATATATATATATATATCAGAGAATTTTATGCACTTTCCACATTTCCAGAGGGAGACTGTACAAAAGTCGATTGCTTGGGTACTTCTGTCCCATTCGTGTATCAACCGTGAAGCAGTTATGTTTGCATGGCTGTGTTTCGGTTTGAAGGGTGGCATATGGCGTGAATTTACTGAGTACAGAGGAATAACACCTGAGTCCTCAGGAATGGCAACGCAAGTATCATAGGCGAAACAGTATACTCTGTTATGTCCATGGTACTGCTCATGTCTATAGGCGACGGTTACCACTTTCCATCAGGTGGGCCGTCAGCTTGTTTGCCATTCTGTTGTATAAAAAAAAAGGTTTGTCGCTTCTGCAAACTGTTTCCAGTTTATCCGGAAGTCTTCTTATGGGTATGTACGTTGATTACATAATAGCGTTATTCCCGTTACATTATATATTATGGCTGTGTGGCCCCAGCATAGAATGGGCCACCCCTTCCTTTCCCGTGAGTACGGTAAGAGGCGACTAAGGGAACTTATGGTTGAGGGATAGGCAGCAGCGTCCTCTAGAACTTCTCTAAAAGTCTAACTGCGGTTAACTACTGCCAAGCTTGACAACTACTGTCTGAACTCCCCTTACGGGATAGGCTTATGTTCAGCAGTGGACAGTTAATGTTGACAAACGTACAATATATATGTATATGTATATACATATATATATGTATATATTGTACATTTGTCACCATTTAACGACATATCTAGATTTTGGATGTCCATGATAGTTGAAGAAGATGGTAAGAATTCATTAAAATTTCTCATCTGAAAGCACTTCTGAGTGCTCACAACGTCGTACGTAGTTCTTCAGTTGAAATGCACTTTGGCTCATTTTATGCCTTTGCTTTTAACTGGAAGGAGTAACTTTGAGACAAGATTCTAATCTGGGATGCAATTAATCGACTTCAAATGAGAAAGTTATGAATTCATTTTAATTTTTCCAACGGTTTCCAATTAACTGAAAAATTTATTAATTTTAAGAGAGACTTAAAGATTTACTGTGTGGCGTTTAAACGACGTGGTGCAATCCATGTCGTTTAAACCATCCAGAGGGAGACTTTGTACAAATGTCGATTGCTTGGGTACCTCTGTTCCATTCATGTTTCTACGGTGAAGCAGTTGTGTTTGCACGTCTGTGTTTCGGTTTGAAGGGTGGAATATGGCGTGGATTTACAGGGTACAGAGGAATAACACCTGAGTCCTCAGGAATGGCAACGCATGGGGGGTATCATGGGCGAAACAGTATACTCTGTTATGTCTATGGCACTGATTATGTCTATAGGCGACGGTTACCACTTTCCATCAGGTGGGCTGTCAGCTTTTGTGCCATTCTAAGTTGTATAAAAAAAAACGTTGCCAATAAAGAAGAAGGTATGCAAGTACTATTTTCCTGCAAAGGTTTTTTCATCGCATTAAGTCTTAATTGTGTACATAAAATACTAATTTACTTATTTCCCATTCAAAATCTCCGCGCAAAACGCAACAGACGGCGGAATTCCGGTTCGATTATAACCACAAGTAACTTTAACACTTAAATTAGAACAAAACCACAGTTTAACCGTAACTGCAAAGTGGACGGACCGTCACAGTTTACTCAACAACAATTATATCCGATTATAGAGTTTAGTTCAAGTTTTGCACAACTATGCTGCGGTGACAACTACGTAGTCTTTGATATGGTTACACTTTGCTCTCTATGCAAAGTTTGGAATTATAAACATGGGATTTTTAAAATATATATACATAATTATATCTTTTTTATGCAACTTAGAATAGCAAACAAACTGAGGGCCTACCTGATGGAAAATGGTAATCGTCGCCTATAGACATGGACATAACAGAGTATACTGTTTCGGCCATGATACTTCCCAAGCGTTGCCATCCCTAAGGACTCAAGTGTTATTCCTCTGTAGCCTATAAATTCAGTGCCATATCCCACCCTTCAAACTGAAACACAGTTGTGCAAACACAACTGTTTCACGGTTGAAACACGAATGGGACAGAGGTATCCAAGCAAACGACTTTTGTACAACGTCTCACTTTGGTATATATATTTTTGCCTTGCCACAAAATCATTCTTGTGGAATTCGTGAGAATGGACCAATTGGCTTGACTTTTTCCTCGCTTTTCTTCTGTCACTGATGCCCTGTCTGTGTATATCGATGGTGCGGGCGGGGTTATCATTCCATTACATCCAGTACATGAGAGATAATTAAAAAAAAATATATATATAAGGGGTCTTAATAAGAGCAGTAGAAGCTAAAAACTAATTTTTGGAAATTTGGCCTGTCTAGATGTATATATGTTTAATCTGGCATCACGCTAATATCGCACCAAAGTAATTGTAGTTTTCATATTTGAGTTTCTCATATCACATTCCTTGTACCAACTTAAAATCTGGAGTATGTTTTATCGAGAAATGTTATCTACATGTGGTTTAATTCATTAGTTTTCCTACTTCTGAAATACTCGTAAATACGGGCAAGAAATTAGGTAATATTATAAATGTTAAAGCACCTTGACGACGCTAAAAGTTAATAAACAAACCACTATGAAATTTGGCATCCATTAAGAGATGGAGAGGGGCATAAGCTGTCACGCAGTCGAAGCCGCGGGTAAGAACTAGATTTATAAAAATAAAAATACAAATCTCCCTTTCCATAGATAATATCCCGTGAAATATTTCACAATACAACATTTTAAATAGAACACAATACCTTTGTGAAGGTACAGTAATCAGAAAAACCCAAATACTAAATGTGATAAATTTATTTCAAGGTAAACGTGAGATACGTTAATTTTATCACAGTTATTTTGTTCTTATCTATACAGATAATCCACAAATATCTATTGGGAAAGATAAGTTATTCACCTCAGTTTTTTATTGTTAGGTAGGCAAATGAGGACACGGTCCACCTGATGGGAAGTGGCTACCGTCACCTATGAACACTTGTAACGTGAGGGGAGTCGCTGGTGCGTTGCTGGCATTTTAAATGTTTGCAAACAAGCTGACTGCCCTCCTGATGGAAAGTGGTAACCGTCGCATATAGAGATAAGCAGTACCATGGACATAACAGAGTACACTGTTTCGACCATGACACTCCCCATGCGTTGCCATTCCTGAGGAATCAGATATTATTTCTCTGTACCTTGTAAATTTACGCCATCTCCCACCCTTCAAACCGAAACACAGCCATGCGAACACAACTGCTTGACGGTAGAAACACGAATGGGACAGAGGTGTTCAAGCTAACGACTTTTGTACAAAGTCTCCATCTGACCGATTTAAATGCCCCATATTATATTATAAAGTTTACTGGCGAAACCCTGTTCGATTTACAAATTATATACTTATTAAAATCTTAAATGAAATAACATAGTTCAGTACTCGATTACGTAGTATTATATATATATATTTTTTATTTTATTAAAAGAAAAAACAAAACTGAAAATTATTCTCAGTAACTACTTATTTATATTAGCGTGAGCATTGCGTCTGAGCATCTTTCGCTAGATTAGCAAAATATTATATTTTTTGCCTTGCCGCGATCGACTGGTCTAATAGTCACGATCGACCAATTGGTGACCTCTAATATATAGATTAAAAATATGTATAAATATCATCAATCAAGTCACAGCTCTACTCTCAGTTGGTTTGAATAGAATATTTTGAATTGGTAATAGATCAGCGCTGCGCTCAAAACTTTCCCCAGGCACGATGCGAAAATTTCAATTAAATCCGAAAGTTTACTTGCACCAGAGTCTAAACCACTGAATATGTTAATTTACTCTTTAACTTTAATTATCGGGGAAATATCTTGATTCACTTTGAACTCTTTAACGCGTAATGGTTTTAATATATAAAATCATGAAATAGTCATGTGATTAATTGTAAATAGATACTGAGTAATAATTGTGTCATATATATATATTTTTTTTACAAAACAGGTAATTCCTTATAGTTTCTTGTAATCCTGAAAATATTTTTTAATTACATTTCAAAATATTTCATTATAAATCAATAAATACAATGACATAAGTATTTTATCGCAAGCATTATGTTAATATATATATATATATATATATATATATATATATATATATATATATATATATATATATATATATATATATATATATATATATATATATTATTTAATGTTTTTAAATGATAAACTTCACATTCAAAACTCATTTGTATTCTAAACAAGTTTGTAATTCAGTGAAATGGTCCTGTTAGAGGAATTCATATTATTATGAATTCCTGTAACCCCATCAGGGATTAGGGATTTCAGGATAATAGTATGCCTAGCAAATGAGAACGTATGTACTCGTAACTATACATATAGATCAGAGACAGAAAAAAATAAATGAAGTATTAAACATGACCACATTCTCAAGGAACCCTTGCATTAGTATTCCGTGTCCGTGTTCGTGGAACCATTAATTCGTGTCCAGACATATTTTTTCATGGACCCTCGGAGACAGGACAGTTAACTCGATTCCTACATCAGTTACTAACTTTTTTTTTACTATTTTAGACATAATTTTCTCATGCCTTCACTTTTGCCAAAGAATATTTCACAGTAAATTCAAGGTCTAAAATCAATGTAGAAATTAGAATAAGTAAACTGAAATGGCAAAATGTTGATAATATAGCTCAATGATATGTGATATGGAAGTAAAGTTCTTGGGTACACATACACATTTGCTCTATATACAGATGCAGTCTGCAACAACCTTTCACTTGATAAAGTGCTGGTCTCAAATATACAGGCGACTCAGAAGCATTACTTATAACATTCTATTCGAGAAGCCTAACTTCAGCAGCAGTGTTCAAGTTGTCGCGTCTGAATTGATAATGACATTGAGATATAGATAAAGTAAAACAAATACATTTTGATTCCGTTTTACATTTATTTTACGTATAATTCACCAGCTAATTTTGCACCTGCAACAAACCCTTCCCAAGTTTCAGAACATACCTGTTCTATGTAACTTGGATCTAAATTAAACCCTTCAAAACTCATACCGAGACCAGGTAACTCAATGGTGTAGGTTAAAGGGACGCCGATAGAATGCGCATAGTCTTCAGAAGCCCCAGCCGTTGCATATCCGATAACAAGGAAAGAATTACCAACAACGTATTCCGGGAATTCAGATAGAGATTTAGCATGAATTGCATCAGCCATTGCTGAGCCAACTCTATGGAGGTCTACGGAGTTATTGGACAAGGTGCCATTGTTTCCCCATGGGTAAAGGATCATACTTCCATAACTATGCATGGTGATGTACAAAGTTATTCTGTTAAGATGTTCATGAAGAATATCTCTGACAACTCTTGTCTCTACTTCTGAGAATGGTTCACTACCAGCATATGTATCGGCACAAGGACTATTGTCAGTTCCAACTGTGTTCCAAAGGAAGTCGTAGTTGCGGTTGCCGTCTACTCCAGGGCAGGTAATGCTTGAAGGATCTTGGTTAATTGAACGTGTCTTTCGCCAGAAACGGGCCTAAAATAGAATGACATTAAATTAAAATAGAATGCCAAGTATGGCATAAAAATTTAGTTATATATTTTTGTGCAAAATTCCTTGTGAGATAGACAGAGTGAATTACTTTACTTAATAAATGATGAAGCAAGAGATGCTTTTAAAAATTAAGTCAATTAATATAAATAAATCCTACATTATTATGTAGTAATATAGTATCACAGCAAACTGTAGGATTGGGGTAAAGAAGGTCCCCATAAAAGGAGCATATTAGCAGACCATTACCACCTTTGCCACTTTGTTTGGTACAGGGTTTTAATTCCAGCTCTTCTTCTTTTATAGTTTTGTATATCCCTAATCTCCTTAGTTCATTTATAGCAGATATTGCATTTTCATTCACATGTGGATTTCCACTACTGGGCAAACGTCTCGCCAAACTGCTTGCAGCTTTTACGATCGCTAGTCAAGGACTATTAGTTTTTGGGGAATAGATGGAAATCGTCTTTTTATCGTGTAAGGTGCCTTTGAATTTGCTACTTTAAATTTACAGGACGCTAATATTAACAGATTTTGCTCCATCTATTGTTTGGCATGAGTCTCACGTAACTTGCTCATGTAATATTACTTTATTAATGATATCTCTATGAATATATTCATATATTTTTGTTTATCTATATACTCACGTTAGTAAATGTGTATTTATATCCATCAGGATTAACGACCGGTAAAAGGATCCAATCAAAATCATCCAAGAGTTCTGGTTCTGTTACGTTTTCTACAAGCTTGTGAATAGCCCAAGTGACGGTGGGTGGTGCAATCCATTCTCTGGCGTGGATACCACCGTCGATAAATATAACTGGTTTACTGGTATCGTTGAAGTTGGTGGTAGATATCTTCAAGTATTGAATAGGGTGTCCCTCAAAGGAATTGGCGGGGGATACTAGAGTGACTTTATCCGGATAACGATTAGCAATGTCAACGAGATATGTGTTAATCTGAAAGTAATTTGTATTAGTAATCATTGTAGTTAGTATTTTAGTTAAAATACGTTTATTAATAAGAATACTCTTAAATATCATTGTACATAATTACACGACGCTATCTGGCAATAAACTTAGCAAAGTTATATTATGAGTACTAGATAACAAATGGTTAGGTTACATCATATACGTATACATATGTCTTGATCAAACACAATTTTAATTATTTCTCCCCATCTAAAGGTTGCCTACTGTTGCCTCTTTATTTCTCTTTTATGTAATTAAGTATTAATTTTGTTTGTGTACATTTTGTTTCTTTTACATCTTTATCCTTTTTTAAACGAAACAACAAAGACTTTTCGTTCATTCATTCATATAGTATTGTAATATGTTAAATTGCTGTATCACCAAAGTCCTCAAATTATAGGTAGGTAGGTTATATTCATTCCAAAGGTTGACTGGTAGAGAATACTACTAGCAGTAAGTCGGCCTTTTGTATCATTCTTTTATTTGGTCAATAAAGTTATTTAAATAAATAAATATCAGACCGTACAAGAGTTCTTTTTTTTTATGCAACTTAGAATGGCAAACAAGCTGACGGCCCACCCGATGGAAAGTGGTAACCGTCGCCTATAGATATGAGCAGTACCATGGACATAACAGAGTATACTGTTTCGCCCATGATACCCACCATGCGTTGCCATTCCTGAGGACTGGGGTGTTATTCCTCTGTACCCAGTAAATTCACGCCATATCCCACCCTTCAAACCGAAACACAGCCATGCAAACACAACTGCTTCACGGTTGAAACACGAATGGGACAGAGGTACCCAAGCAATCGACTTTTGTACAAAGTCTCCCGCTGGTTACGATTGAATAACTGATTGCGTTATGAGGTAACAAATATAAAAAATATAACCGAATTCAGAATCTTCTTTTTTATTAAGTAGGTTGAAGAGGAACATTTATACTTACAATTTCTAACTCTTGATAATTATCATAGGGTAATTCTTTCTTGCCTCTTGCCAGATTTTCTTTCTTTTTTGCTTGGATAAGTATATCGTCCTTATCAAGAGCTCTGAAACATGGACAATGCAATAAGCCTATATTATGATTGTGCTTTTAAACTCCTTTTAAACAGGGACAATAAAAAACATCTATTACCTTGTAATTGTTTATATTTATAATAAGTTTACTATTGTAATCTTTTGGAGGAAACAATAAAGAGTATCTATCTATCTATCTATTCAAATAATTTGTTTTATTTGTTTTTCAATGGCACGAAAATTGATAGTCCATTTGATGAAAGGTGGTAACTGGAGCATATAGATATATAAATAACAATATACTCTGTTATGTCCATGGTACTGCTCATGTCCATTGGCGACGGTTACCACTTTCCATCAGGTGGGCCGTCAGCTTGTTTGCCATTCTAAGTAGCATAAAAAAAGACATAAATAGCATCACGGATGATGGTGAAGTAAGGTTCTTGAATGGCGATCCCGTATGAGCAAACGCAGTGTACGACGATCATTAGATGGAGTGATGACCTCAAATGCATTGCAGGGAGTCAGTGGACGCAGGTGCCTCCCCATGGCAGTTATGGCTGTTCATGGAGAAGCCTATGTTCAGCAGTGGACAGATAATGGCCGAGATAATAATAATGATATTAGTGATCGGGATTTTTTTTTTAAAAATCGGTCAAGTACTTTTGACTTTGTAATGCGTTTACAAACAAATAATTTCTTTTTATAATATTAATATAGATAATATAGAATAAAATTGTTATTCGTGTCTGTATGTTACACCGTTTAAATATTCTAAACAACGCAATGGATTTTGATGGGTTTTATTGTCATTCAATTTTTTTTTTATATTGAGGTTTTGTTTGTACAATAGATCTTAATCTTATATAGATAGAGCATCGAGCCTAAAAAACGAGTCAACTTCTTGTCATCTAATTGTCAAATTAGCTGTCTCGTTTTTTTATCAGTATTCTACTATATATAATTACGCATAAAATGTATCTTGCCGTATTATTTAATAAATATAATGAGTATCTACGCATTAAATCAATCCCTAAAGAATTCAAAGAATTAGGTCTTAAACAATTCAAACAAACCTTGTCGAAGTGGCTCTTAAAAAAGTGTTTCTACACGGTAAGGGAATTTATTGAGTATAGACGTGATAATATTTAGTGTATGATACTTGACATAAATGTGAGCTGTGACATACTCGTATTGTGTTTCATTCATTCCATTCGTGTTTCAACCGTGAAGCAGTTGTGTTTGCATGGCTGTGTTTCGGTTTGAAGGGTGAGATATGGCAGTGAATTTACAGGGTACAGAGGAATAACATCTGAGTCCTCAGGAATGGCAACGCATGGGGGGTATCATGGGCGTAACAGTATACTCTGTTATGTCCATGGTACTGCTCATGTCTATAGGCGACGGTTACCACTTTCCATCAGATGGGCCGTCAGCTTGTTTGCTATTCTAAGTTTAAAAAAAAAATTGTACAAATTGAATTCAAATCTATATATTATTGTATTTGTTACTTGTATGTGATTATTATTTGACATTGGCACCTTAAAAAGATTATTAAAAAGATTCATAAATTATAATACAAAATATATATAGAAGTTATAAAGGAATCACTCATAAATATTTATCACGCAGAATTGTATGGAAAAGATGATGCGTTTTTCTTGAAGCATTTGTATGGAGACACTCTATCTATTTAATCTAAGATCTTAATTTGCTAACACACGAAGCCGCGGCGAGATGCTAGTTTATAAATAGAGAGAGTAGATATTTTTTCTCGAAATTTGTAGTTTTCATGGGATTTTCGTCTGCTATTTATTGAAAGAAATCCTCAACCGTTGTAGTGTCCATCAAACTTTATTAGCCGGATCAAATTAAATTAAACTTGAAGGGTTCGATTATTTTTCGTAAATGCCGTCTTGCCAATTGTTAAAATTAATTGGACCATCTTCGATACGACCTTGGCGTTTAAAACAGGCATCTGTTATACATATATATCGCTCCGATATCTATATTCAGTATATATTTCCTCTAAATTTTATGGCGGTATACAGGTTCATTACCTCATATCGGTCGGGGATCTCCATTAATTATATATATATATATATATATATGAAAAAAAAACAATATATAGATATTGCTTGGAAAAAAATATTTTATTTCATTTTAACCAACTTCAAAAAAGGAGAAAATTCCCAATCAAGTCGAACTCAACATCTAAAGTCTGTAATTTATAAATGCATCTGTAAAATTCTTTTGTAACTAAAAAAAATATACATTCAAATTGGTCCTATAGAAATTTCATTAATATCGTTTGAGTAGTTTGTTTTCATCAAAATTACCCTTTATAATATAATATGGGTGAAATAAGTACCCACAAGCATTTAAAATTAATTTCATTCCAATATTTTCAAAAAAGTGAAAAAAAGGTCACTTAAGAAATGTGTATTTAGATTGCAGACGTACAGGTAAAAAAATGCAATGTCGAATAAGACCAGTATCGTCGTCATAATACTTATGCATCTTAATTGTGTATTTAAGTTTAAATAAATAAATAAATATTTTTCTCAAACATACTTGGAAATGTGAGCATTATTTTGATAATCTTCTTAGAGATAAATCAAAATTGCCGTATTGGCCAGATACATACGGGCAGCAGCCGGCAAAAGTTTTATGAAAATCCATATCTGTCGTGTTTTGCGGCCAGATAAATTACTATGTAAACTCATATCTGTCCTGTAATTTAAAAATGGAATGACCTTTTACTTCAAAACATGGCTGCCAAGAAGTTAATAATAAAAGGTTTTATTTAAATTTCGAACTGGCTTGCAAATAGAAAGTTGTTTATTGAAAAAAAAACAAAGGAAAATTATGGCGCGTGAAAAATTATTATTGTTCGTTATTCGTCATTGAATTTAAAAAGTAAAATTGTGTTTTTGATTTCCGCGCATTGTTTGAGAAAAGTACTATACAAGCTTTGGCTGCAACTAGGCATTGATGGACTCACGTACGTTCGCACGTTTGTCCATCAATGCCTCAGTTGCTGGCCGCTGCAATAATGTACTATTATGGGCAGGCTAAACGCAAAAAAGATATTTTTTTTTATGATACTGTCATTGTAAAGTGCGATAATTTATTCAGTTTGTTCTTTTCAGTTTTGGTTGTAATGTTTTATGTATTTGTTGTTAAGCGTGTTGAGTCTCCCATCCGAGAAATAGGTATTGGCGACCCGCACGCATGCTAAAGGTAAAGGAGTTAAGGGGCCGCCTGAAAATCAGCGCTATATAAGTACTTCTCGCTGGAGTTGTACATATTATATATAGCAACAGCTGAGGCGGCTCCTGTTACCAGCAACATTAATTGTTTTTTTTTTATTGTTTTAATTTTTTTATACAACTTAGAATGGCAACCAAGCTGACGGCCCACCTGATGGAAAGTGGTAACCGACGCCTATAGACATAAGTAAGTAGCATGGACATAACAGAGTATACTGTTTCGCCCATGATACCCCTCCATGCGTTGCCATTTCTGAGGATTCAGGTGTTATTCCTCCGTACCCAGTAAATTCACGCCATATCCCACCCTTCAAACCGAAACACAGTCATGCAAACACAACTGCTTCATGGTAGAAACACGAATGGGACAGAGGTACCCAAGCAATCGACTTTTGTACAAAGTCTCCCTCTGGTTATTTTCTTAATATTGGTAATAAAGGTTATCTATCTATCTATCTATCTATCTAAACGTGTTTATCTGCCTGTCTATTAATTACACTTAGCTAATTCACGCTTTTGATAAATTATAATGACGTGTTAACGACGTGTCAATTAATCAACGTCAGTGATACGCCCGCTGTATTGATATTCCCTTTATTTTTGAATGAAAGTTAATAAAAATCGAATTGTGCTTTTTTTTAAACAGCACAAGCTTATGTTTAAATCCACCTACGAGTGTTTCCCTACTATTAACTTTTCGAATGAAACAGGCTAATCTCTTTTTTTTTAATGGCGTGTCAAAACAAAAAATTTGGGTCTTTAAAAATTTTTAATATTTTATGTATCTTGCAGCTTCACCAGCGTAAATTAGCACATAAAGTATTAAGTTATGTACTAAGTTAGTATATAAACTACTCGCGTACCAAATTTCAATCAAATACATTCAGTAGTTTTTGCGTAAAGGACTAACAAACATTCGTTTCCATCCGTCCATTCATCGTTACAAATCTGTGCATTTATTACACGTATATTAATAGGATAGACTAGGTTTAGATTGACTTTTTTATTTTTTTATACATCTTAGAATGGCAAACAAGCTGACGGCCCACCTGATGGAAAGTGGTAACCGTCGCCTATAGACATGAGCAATACCATGGACATAACAGAGTATACTGTTTCGCCCATAAGACCCTCCATGCGTTGCCATTCCTGAGGACTCAGGTGTTATTCCTCTGTACCCTGTAAATTCACGCCATATCCCACCCATCAAACTGAAACACAGCCATGCAAACACAACTGCTTTACGGTAGAAACACGAATGGGACAGAGGTACCCAAGCAATCGACTTTTGTACAAAGTCTCTCTCTGGTAGCTGTCACGCTTGAAGGCGGATTGGCAACCGTAGTAAGGCTTTGGAGATGTTTTAAGAAGGACGCTGCTGCCCGTCCCTCGCGCTCCGTTTGTTGCCTCTTACGACATCCACGGGGGAGGAAGGGATAGCCTATTCTATGCCGGGACCACATACTCTTAATTAGTATAAAATATTCAATGTAAAGGTCTAAGTTAATACTTTAACTTACGTTTTCACATCGGCCGAATGGATCCTGTACTCGATTCCTTTTTCTTCTAACATCTTCGTGAAACCATCCTGCTGTTCAGGTTTGATGAGTACAAGGCCTTCCCGCTTTAAGATTGGACGGCTTAGGACATCTGCTTCGAAGTCTTGTAGTATTGCGCCTATTGCTCGGAGTTGATCTTGGGAATTAGGGCTTATGTAGTAGGATCTCCACCTGAAATGTATTTAGTTATTTTATTAAAACAAATATACAGCTTTGACATCACTTATGAAAGTATTATTTCTTGTCACCACATTTATCATATCAACTCTTAATTGTCCACTGCTATACATCAGCTTCCTCCTAAAGTGGTTTTGCCAGTAGTTGCCACGCTTGGCAGGCAATTTGGCGACCGCAGTTAGGTTTTGGAGATGTTTTAAGAGAAACGCTGCTGCCCATCCCTCGCCCTCCTTTAGCCGTCTTCCACATTTACGATACCCATAAGAGAGGGATGGTCTATTCTGTGTGTTCGCGTGGTCCCACACAAGTTTTATTACATATAGGGACATTTTGTACAAAAGTCGTTTGCTTGGGTACTTCTGTCCCACTCCAGTTTCTGCCATGAAGCAGCTAGCAGAGCCACCTTAAATGTGTTTCGGATTTAAAGATACAGAGGCATAACAACGTAGTCCTCAGGAATGGCAATGCATGAGGGGTATCATGGGCGATACAGTATACTCTGTGACGTCTATGCTACCAAACCACTTTAGTTTATAAACAAAGCCATGAGTAATATAATTTACTATGCACTATAACATATTTCACGTGATTAAATAATTTTAAACGCGAAAGGTGGATTTAAATTTAATTTCCAAACAGCATGGAATAATAGTTCAAAAAAAGGGGAAGAAGGGATTGTTAGTAATGGGGATTAGTAGACCCATTGCTAGCAATATACCCTTTTAGGTCGACCTCCTCGTGGTTTCCCCTAGAAATCATCGTGATTGATTTATTGTTAAATTCGTCACGATGGGCTAACTGACCTGCTTCATCCTCACCTACATATCATCCTTCACTGGTGCTCCGCCAGCGTATACCGTTAGCGCAGGCGGGGTTACCATTTCATTATCACTCATGAAAAAAGAATAGTTAAAACAAACAGTTAACAGAGTTTTAACATATTCGAAAATAATATTCGAATATCCGACCGATATGGGCGATATCGAAATGGGTACTGATCTTTTATCCGCTATCAATGTCTAGAGAAACCCGATATATAGATATGGGATCGATATTCATATTACTCAAGCGTAAAGACTAAAATAATCTTTGACGCAAAATATACCATTCGTGTTTCAACCGTGAAGCAGTTGTGTTTGCATGGCTGTGTTTCGGTTTGAAGGGTGGGATATGGCGTGAATTTACTGGGTACAGAGGAATAACACCTGAGTCCTCAGGAATGGCAACGCATGGGGGGTATCATGGGCGAAACAGTATACTCTGTTATGTCCATAGTACTGCTCATGTCTATAGGCGACGGTTACCACTTTCCATGAGATGGGCCGTCAGCGTGTTTGTCATTCTAAGTTGTATAAAAAAAATTACCGATGGATTTTAATGAAATTTGGTACATTGAAAGGTTATATACTAACTTAGTACACAGGATACTTTATGTGCTTACTAATTTACGTAAATGGAGCCGCGGAATATAGTGTTTATTATAATTAAGGATTGTGTCTCACAAAAAGACTGACTTCAATTGTGACAAAACTAATTATTTTAATCTAAAAATTGAACTACTAAACCGATTTTGATAAAACTTCTATGGAATCAACCAGTAAGTATATCCTTTCGAATAAAAAAAGAATTTTCCAAATCGGTTTAGAATTGACGGGGATATGACGTGACAAATACAAAGAAAAATACAACCGAAATGAGAATACTCTATTTTTTTTAAGTCGGTTGAAAAGAACGCAGAATAACATATGTTCACAAATAGATAAGAACTTAATAATAGTTTTAAAACACATTTGGTTCATTTACACTGGACAAAAATATAAAATATATATATAAGAGAACTAAGAATTTATAGCTTTGTCTAAATCCATCTTGAATTGTTAGCAATTTTACTATCTAAAGTCACTGATTTACCTCATATATTGTTCGTGTTTGGCACAAACAATCGTACAAAGAAAAAACACTGTCCAAAACTTCATTTCAACGAGCGATGCAATAGTTTGTGTTGTCTAATTCAACTAAAATCCCAAATGTACTCACAGTGAAATAGTGCTGCACTTACAGATGGGCAAAGCACCGGGTTTAAACCCGGTGCTTTGGTAAAAACCCAATAAACACCCATAAACTCCCATAATCACCCAAAAAAATAGGTTTTTACGTATTTTTTTGAAAATATGTAAGTAATACCAATAAATTATTTTTATAAATTGTATTGATCAATTCTACAATATTAAATAAAACGTTAACTAATAATATTTCAGGAAATTTTAAAAATCTATATATAATAAAATGAAAGTAATTAATTTTCAGTGTTTTCATGTTGCAGTTGATCAACATGTTGGCCTTTTGCTTCCCGTAGATACTTTAAAATTTCTTCATAACACCTCGTTCGCACACATGGCCGTATATATTTAAATTCTTGAGCCACTAACAGTCCGAAATACTCATTTCTTTTATCCTCTTCTCCATAAATTAAGCATTTAGAACAGTTTGTTTCTTCTTTCAGTAAATTTTCTTTTACTTTATCCTCGTTTTTTTTATTTGTTGCGACGACGCTGGGTAAATCATCTGGACACTGGGTCTCACTATCGCCAAATATATTTGGAGATCGGCTTCGGCTACGGCTTGGCAGACATTTTTTTCTTTCTACAATTTTAAATTAAATTTATTAGAATATATGCTTCGAACACACGCGATCTAAGTACCTTTTGTGTTTATTATACCTTACCTACCTAGGTATAAAAAGAGTACTTACGTAGATTTTCTTTTATTAACTGTTTTATACGAAGATCTTGATCTCTCAAATTAGCATCCATTTTACTTCCAGTGATTATCAACTAAATTAATAATCCACAAAGTATTAAATAACGTTTTTATGAAATATTTAGCACAAAAACAATACCCTTTAAATATCGATCGTCAGTAACTGTGGCTGACTTACCTATATTCTAGCAAGCAGGACTGCCAGATGTGAAGGGGAAATCCCCAATAAATTGTTGCATGTGACTGATGATGTGAGCATGTTCGTTTCATAATAAAAATGTTGCCAGGTAACCAAAAAGTCGTATGTTTTTGTGCGAATTACGATCATAATCTTTACGATCGTACATTAAAAAATAGACAAATAATAGTATGAGTACGATTTAAATCGTATATCTGTCAACCCTGCTAGCAAGACAGCGACAAAATCACGTTGCATAACAATGTAGCCCAAGCTTATATCTTATGAAATATACGGAAGAGATACGGACTTAGAAAAAACAGAAATGTTGTTCTTTGTGGAAGTCATTGATGAAATTCTATGTATTTTAGCCCGCAAACTTTCTTCAAACAAAAACAGCGCCATCTAGTATCGAGTTCTGTAATTATCTCTTTGTTTATGGATTTGAAGTAAGACCGCCACGCATGCAATACATTATGACTGGGGATTCCCCTATTCGTCGACGCTGAATATGAGGCGACGACAATCACTGTCAAACGTGTTCACTATTACTCTGACTCTGGTAACGTGACTTCCTGGTAACGTGTTAGGTAGGAAAAGCAGTAAAAAAGTGCATATTAAGGGAGCAGATTTGAAATAATATTTATACTTAACAAGAAATAATTAAAGGTAAGTGGATTTTTGAATGATACAATTATATCATGATCACTTAACAATTTTAACTTAAAATTAGATGTATTATTACAAGCTTTTATTTAGCTTGCGTTATGTAAATAAAAGTATGTAGGTATGTTCGTATGTTGATGCAATTATCCTCAATCCTCAACCGACTGGGATAAAATTTTCCATACACGTTTATTTTGGATGATAGTGCATAGTTAGCTGAGAGTCGTCATTGGATAATAATGGTGGATAGCCTAAGATGTGTACTAGATATTTATTTTTAACATAATATGCGTAAGTACCTAATCGAATTAAAGAAGTTGCTGAGAAAAATACAGAACAATACGATAATAAACTAGCGTCTGCGTTTAATCCTCCGAGGAGATGTAATTTTACAAAGGTTTTTTGTATTTATTTTATTATTTTTTTAATAAATTTATTGTAAATAACAAGAAATAATCATTGTAAAAAAATAGGCACTCTATTGTTGAATTTTCGTCAGACCAACTAATCATCGTTCATTTTTTTAGGTTCAATGGGGAGACCTAAAGATTTACGCATATGGGAGCACTACCGTACTTTACCAAACAAGTCTGTTTCTTGCAAGCTTTGTAATAAGGTCTACAAATTCAGTAATGCTGCCAAAATGCTTCAACATCTTATCACTTGTCCAAAATCTCCAGAAACATTAAAAGACTCTATGAAACTTATAAAAGATAGCTCGTCCAAAACCAAAATGTCTGGACTGTCAGAGATAGAGACAAATGATTCTTTTATAAGCCCCTCGTCGTCTGCTAACACTACAATAAATGCTGAGTTTCAAGACACCGATGATCATATAAAAACAGAATTAGCGAGAGCTATATTTGTAACAGGGACGCCATTATCGATGGTGCAACATCCTTTATGGATACAATTTTTCGAAAAATTGCAACCAAAATTTAAAATACCTTCACGTAAAGCTTTAGCGACAAAATACTTAGATAAAATATATAGAGAAATGCGTTTTGAGTTAAATGAGGAACTAAATGCTTGTAGTTACTTACACCTTCAGTGCGATGGCTGGTCTAATTTAAGAAATGAAGGAATAATAAACTTTCTTATATCAAAACCTCAACCTGCATACGTTAAAAGTTTGAATACAGAAAGTAATCCTCACACTAGTGAATACCTTAGCCAAGAAGTTGAAAAAGTAATGAAAGTGTATGGAGCAAATAAGTTTCTTGTACTTATTGGCGATAACGCTAGAAATATACAAAAGGCATTCGAATTAACAAAACTCAAATATCCACATGTTGTTCCTCTCGGTTGCTGTGCACATATCCTTAACTTGTTGTGCCAAGATATTGTAAAGATACAAGAAGTAACTGTGTTTATTATGCAAGCCATAAATATAATAAAAACTGTTAAAAGGAGTCAACGATTAAGTTCCTTGTTGATAAAATCAAGGCAGGGTGAAGATTCTACACAAACACTAAAATTGCCTTGTGCTACAAGATGGGGAAGTCATGTTACTTCGTTAAAAAGTTTGAAAGCAAATAAGATAGCTTTGCAAATATTAACAGTTAGAGAAGATGTGGTAATTTCAAGAGATATTAAAGATTTAATTCTAAGTGATGATTTCTGGACGAAGACAGGGGAATGTATAAGTATTTTGGAACCAGTCACTGAAAGCATATTTTACTTAGAGAGCGACCAGAATCGTTTGCATCGCACATACATTACATTTAGAGATGTACAAGCTAAGATACGTTTTGCATTAAATGAGATTTCGACATTGAGCGAAGAAAGCAAACAGCAGATTCTAACATCAGTATCTTCAAGATGCAATATGGCAATGAGGCCAATACATTTTGCAGCATATATTCTAGACCCCAGGACTCTAGGAGTCGAACTTACTCAAGAGGAAGAACTTAAGGGTATGGAGTTAATCTACAATTTAAGCCAACACTTAAGTTTGTCAAATGTAATGGCAGATTTGGCGTGTTATAAAGCTAAAGAAAACTTTTGGGCCAGAGGATTTGTATGGAGCTCATTAGATAGCATTGAGCCCCTAATATGGTGGAAAGGTATTTGTGGTTCCACTGAGTTAAGCAAAGTAGCGATTCGTATTCTATCAGCTCCCTGTACTTCGGCAGCCACTGAGCGTTCCTTTAGTATCCAAGGCTACATACATAATAACAAAAGAAATCGACTTACAACTGAAAGAACTGAAAAAATTTCATTCATTTGTTATAACTGGAATCTTAAACATAAAGCTGAATGCGAGGACATTCAGTTTAATGAAGAAAATACCTTAGAAGCTTTCATTGAGCAAGTAAATGAACATAACAGTTTAGACGAAATAGAGCCTATCGAACCTATACAATTCATCGCTTGTAATAACTCTGAATCTGACAGTGATTGACTGTAGTTTTACATTTTACTTTCATCTCTTTCTTAATAAACTCAAAATCAAATTAAAAGTTTTTTATTCTGTAGGCTGCATAATAATATTGTCTATGTCCAGTATAGTGGACGTCTTGCGGCTGAGATGACGATGATGAAGTACAAAATCATAAACACCCAAAAATTTGGGTGTTTATGGGGTTTAAACCCAATAAACCCAAAACACCCGGTTTTTACCCACCAGACTTTAAACCCACCCAGGTGGATTGCCCATCTCTAGCTGCACTCGAATTTATCTGATTGTTATCAATTCAAGTATCTGATAATAACAAGTTTGTTTTTAAACGGTTTTATTTAGCTCGACCTGTACGGTATTTATTTATTTGGGTCAAAATTAGAAATAGGAATTTAAGCACCTTCCCGTTGTCAGATTGATCTGAAATTTGGTACACACATTTACTTTAGATGACAATACAATATAATAAAATCAATAACATTATAAATCTAAGATGGCCGCCGATACAAAATGGCGGATTACATATTTTTCCTTAACCCCCGTAATATGGGTATCAAATGAAAGGGCTACACTAGTAAAACACGATGATTATGTCAAAATTTAAAATTCAAGATGGACGCCGTTCCAATATGGCGGACTAGGTACATATTTTTCCACAACCACCACAATATGGGTATCCAATAATAGGACTACACTGAGACACCCAGACACTAGACACTCGGACACTAGACACTCAGAGACGCTAGACCCTCAGACACTAGACACTCAGACACTCAGTCCCTAGACACACAGACACTAGACACTCGGATACAAGACACTCAGACACTAGACACTCGGACACTAGACACTCAGACACTAGACACTCGACACTCGACACTCAAATACTAAACACTAGACACTAGACACTCCGACACTCGGATACAAGACACTCAGACAAGACACTCAGACACTAGACACTAGACACTCGACACTCGACACTCGACACTCGACACTCGACACTCGACACTCGACACTCGACACTCGACACTCGACACTCGACACTCGACACTAAACACTAGACACTAGACACTAGACACTAGACACTAAACACTAAACACTAGACACTAGACACTCAGACATCCAGACACTAGACACTCAGACACTGGACACTCGGATACAAGACACTCAGACACTAGACTCTCAGACACTTGACACTCAGACACCCAGACACTAGACACTCTGACACTCGACACTCGACACTCAGACACTAAACACCAGACACTAGACACTCAGACACTCGACACTCGACGACACTCGACACACGATACTCGACACTCGACACTTGACACTCGACACTCGACACCCGACACTCGACACTCGACACTCGACACTCGACACTCGACACTCGACACTCGACACTCGACACTCGACACTCGACACTCGACACTCAGACACTAAATACTAGACACTAGACACTAGACACTCAGACACTCGACACTCAGACACTAGACACTAGACACTCGACACTCGACACTCAAATACTAAACACTAGACACTCCGACACTCGGATACAAGACACTCAGACACGAGACTCTCAGACACTTGACACTCAGACACCCAGACACTAGACACTCAGACACTAGACACTCGAAACTCGACACTCGACACTCAGACACTAAACACCAGACACTAGACACTCAGACACTCGACACTCGACGACACTCGACACACGACACTCGACACTCGACACTCGACACTTGACACTCGACACTCGACACCCGACACTCGACACTCGACACTTGACACTCGACACTCAGACACTAAATACTAGACACTAGACACTAGACACTCAGACACTCGACACTCAGACACTAGATACTAGACACTCGACACTCGACACTCGACACTCAAATACTAAACACTAGACACTCCGACACTCGGATACAAGACACTCAGACACGAGACTCTCAGACACTTGACACTCAGACACCCAGACACTAGACACTCAGACACTAGACACTCGAAACTCGACACTCGACACTCAGATACTAAACACTAAACACTAGACACTCAGACATCCAGACACTAGACACTCAGACACTGGACACTCGGATACAAGACACTCAGACACTAGACACTCGGACACTAGACAAACAGACACTAGACACTCTGACACTCGACACTCAGACACTAAACACCAGACCCTAGACACTCAGACACTCGACACTCGACGACACTCGACACTCGACACTCGACACTCGACACTCGTGGCGTGAATTTACTGGGTACAGAGGAATAACACCTGAGTCCTCAGGAATGGCAACGCATGGGGGTATCATGGGCGAAACAGTATACTCTGTTATGTCCATGGTACTGCTCATGTCTATAGGCGACGGTCACCACTTTCCATCAGGTGGGCCGTCAGCTTGTTTGCCATTCTAAGTTCTATAAAAAAAAAAAAAAAAAAAAAAAAAAAAAAAAAAAACTCGACACTCGACACCCGACACTCGACACTCGACACTCGACACTCGACACTCGACACTCGACACTCAGACACTCGACATTTGACACTCGACACTCGACACTTAGACACTAGACACTCAGACACCCAGACACTAGACACTCAGACACTTGACACTCGGATACAAGACACTCAGACACTAGACTCCCAGACACTTGACACTCAGACACTAGACACTCGACACTCGACACTCGACACTCGACATTTGACACTCGACACTCGACACTTAGACACTAGACACTCAGACACCCAGACACTAGACACTCAGACACTTGACACTCGGATACAAGACACTCAGACACTAGACTCCCAGACACTTGACACTCAGACACTAGACACTCGACACTCGACACTCGACATTTGACACTCGACACTCGACACTTAGACACTAGACACTCAGACACCCAGACACTAGACACTCGACACTTGACACTCGACACTCGACACCCGACACTCGACACTCGACACTCGACACTCGACACTCGACACTCGACACTCAGACACTAAATACTAGACACTAGACACTAGACACTCAGACACTCGACACTCAGACACTAGACACTAGACACTCGACACTCGACACTCAAATACTAAACACTAGACACTCCGACACTCGGATACAAGACACTCAGACACGAGACTCTCAGACACTTGACACTCAGACACCCAGACACTAGACACTCAGACACTAGACACTCGAAACTCGACACTCGACACTCAGACACTAAACACCAGACACTAGACACTCAGACACTCGACACTCGACGACACTCGACACACGACACTCGACACTCGACACTCGACACTTGACACTCGACACTCGACACCCGACACTCGACACTCGACACTCGACACTCAGACACTAAATACTAGACACTAGACACTAGACACTCAGACACTCGACACTCAGACACTAGATACTAGACACTCGACACTCGACACTCGACACTCAAATACTAAACACTAGACACTCCGACACTCGGATACAAGACACTCAGACACGAGACTCTCAGACACTTGACACTCAGACACCCAGACACTAGACACTCAGACACTAGACACTCGAAACTCGACACTCGACACTCAGATACTAAACACTAAACACTAGACACTCAGACACCCAGACACTAGACACTCTGACACTCGACACTCAGACACTAAACACCAGACCCTAGACACTCAGACACTCGACACTCGACGACACTCGACACTCGACACTCGACACTCGACACTCGACACCCGACACTCGACACTCGACACTCGACACTCAGACACTAACACTAAACACTAGACACTAGATACTAGACACTCAGACACTCGACACTCAGACACTAGACACTCGACACTCGACACTCGACACTCGACACTCGACACTCGACACTCGACACTCGACACTCGACACTCGACACTCGACACTCGACACTCGACACTCGACACTCGACACTCGACACTCGACACTCGACACTCGACACTCGACACTCGACACTCAAATACTAAACACTAGACACTAGACACTCCGACACTCGGATACAAGACACTCAGACACTAGACTCTCAGACACTTGACACTCAGACACCCAGACACTAGACACTCAGACACTAGACACTCAGACACTAGACACTCAGACACTAGACACTCGAAACTCGACACTCGACACTCGACACTTGACACTCGACACTCGACACTCGACACTTAGACACTAGACACTCAGACACCCAGACACTAGACACTCAGACACTAGACACTCGGATACAAGACACTCAGACACTAGACACTCGGATACAAGACACTCAGACACTAGACACTCGGACACTCGACACTCGACACTTAGACACTAGACACTCAGACACCCAGACACTAGACACTCAGACACTTGACACTCGGATACAAGACACTCAGACACTAGACTCCCAGACACTTGACACTCAGACACTAGACACTCGACACTCGACACTCGACATTTGACACTCGACACTCGACACTTAGACACTAGACACTCAGACACCCAGACACTAGACACTCAGACACTTGACACTCGGATACAAGACACTCAGACACTAGACTCTCAGACACTTGACACTCAGACACCTTTTTGGCCTCAGTTCCGTCGAACCCAAATGTACGAAACAGATATATCATCAGGTTTAATTGACTTTGGCACAGACGGCATGCACGTTATTTACCCTAAAGCCATACAGTTTCCAGCAAAATTCAATTATGGTACGGCTGAAAAAAGGATGTTGCCCTTAGTTTTGTCATGGGCATTCACCGTCCATAAAATGCAGGGCAGCACCGTCGACCATGCAGTAGTATATTTGGGCTCAAAATGGTTTGAGGAAGGACAAGCATACGTGGCTCTAAGTCGAGTCAAGTCTCTGGAAGGGCTATGTATTGAGGAATTAGATTGTACTAAATTATCAGGTAAGAAACCATGTAATAATGATGCACTGAATGAATTAAATAGAATGAGGAATATTCGGTAAACAATTTCACTAAATACTAAAAACAAGAAAATAAAAATCGGTAAAAAAACTTTTAAGTTAAACGGTTTTATTTTATGTGCACTGAAAACTACAAAATAAATAAATAGTTACTTACCTATCAACCTACGTAGGTGATCTCGGTCAATAATATCTCTGATGGTAGTGGTTGTCATAACATGAAACATGTCAGCGGCCGAAAGGCAGTTCATGAGAGAACACTAACACCAGGGTTTGCTTGGTAGGTAAACTAAGCAGCCCACACTATAACAAGTAGGTA